AAATTAAAAAAGTTTATACTTTAAAACCCCAGGCTATTTTGGGATGGAAAGAGCACACTATTTCACTTAACATTTGTTCTTTTTTACTTTAAGGGTGTATTTATTATATTTTTTGTAATTAATTTATATAAAAAATAAACTTAAGATCAATTAAGGTTATTTATGTAACAATGGTGTTAAAATAAAAGTGAAAATTTTTAATTTTTATTTATATTAATTACTACAAAATGTAGAATTTATTTTTCATTTAATTATTAAAAATAAATCATTTAAGATTTCATAGTATTTATGCTACTTAAATAATTTAGCAATAATCTTATTTATGTGAAAATAAAATTTTTTGAATGTGAGTAGCACAATACGTGAGTATGATAAATTAAAGAATAAAAAAAATTATTTTTTATTGTGCAATCTAAGATAAAAAAATTATAGTAAGAACAATGATGGAAAGAATATGTTTCATTATTTTTCTAACTTATATATTAAGTTAAATATATATTAATTATATTTTTTAATTAATTTGTATAAAAAAATAATTTCAAATTTATTAATTATTTAATTAAAATTATTCATGTAATATTAAAATTAAAAATAATATTTGTTTTATATTTATAATAAAAAATTATTAATAAAAATATAATTAATATATTATTAATTTATATCTAAAGTGGTGAACATTAAAAAATTATTGTCAAGTTAATCTATTATCCATTTATCAATTACTATTAATACACCGTTAACATATACTCATACTTCTGTGCGGCAGATGCCAGAAAAATTCCCTCTTTTTTTTTTTTTTGAAAAAAAAAAAGACAATGGAAAAAATTCCTTGTTTTAGTTTTAAAACAAATTGGTTCTTGTCAGTCTCATTCACTGTCCATTGACCAATAAGAACAGCCATTTATGGAGGATTCATCATTGCGCATTGTGCAGTTAGAAACTTGGAGGTGGAACATGATGGTCCGCAAGTTCGAGGACCCAGTCGTTTTTGCCTTTTCTTCTTGTTTCATTTTCCAACTCCAAGTTTGGAGAGCTGAAGTCACGCCTGTCTGAGATGAGAGGTGCTTTTTTTTTTTTTTTTTTTTCACTCTTTCAATTCTTATTTATCTATTTATAAAACTAACCTCAATTAATTATGCCGGTAATTTTATATAATAATTTTACATGACAGATACATCATAATTTGAATTTTTTGTTTGAATGTATAATTTTTGTCGTGTTAAGTAAAAAAAAATTTAATTATTATTTATATATTATAAAAATACTAGTTAAAATTACGTGCACAAATATAAAGGACCAAAAGAAGTATAAAAAGAAGGCAATGATGTGTGCCATGTAGTGTTTCTTGACTTTTCGTAACATTGAATCTGAAAATAATTTTTGCATAAATCTAAAACGTGAGATATGATAAAAAAATCAATTATGCGTTTCTATTATTTCAAACTAAGGAATATGAACTAAAAAGGCATGTCCTGGCAAGGAATGCCAATTGTCTATTCATCTGCAGATA